TCCCCGCTCCCCACCCCCAGCCCACCCGGCTCTGGCTCCCTATCAAATTCGAGTGCACCTGCCAGGAGGGCTCTGGGGCCAAGGACATTGAGGTGTGCCTGGTTTGGACACGGACAGTCGAGAACCTACGAGTGCAGGGGGCCTGGTGGCGCCCGTCCCATGAGCACAGCTCTGGTAGGCCCAGCACTCAGCACCCCCTCTGCCTCGCATGGCCCCACCCTGGGCCAGTCTGAGGTGGAGTCCCAGGGAGCTCAGAGTGCCACAGGGAAAGTCTGGTAGGAGTCCAGGATTGGTTTGATTTCAAGTTCCTTCTCATCAATGGTCAGTCGACGCCTGTGGGACCTGCAGGCCGCCAGGTGGAGCCTGGCACCAGCCCTGACCCTGCGGCACAGAGCCCCCGCGTCTACATTCGCTCACGGTGACCCCCCTCCCCTCTGTTCGGTTGGACGCTGCAAATGTAGACCTTCAGTACAAAGAGCATGAAGGTCACATCTCAGGGGACATGAGGGGCAAGAAATGCAGCCGTTAGGCACGGGCCTTCTCCCGGCCTCCTCCCCACCTTCTCCCCCGGTGCTGGGCTCCCAGCCTCCCAGGGAACGCCTCCCCCACCTGTCTCCGAACCAGCCTTCCTGCCCACAGCTCTGCTCAGTAACATCCCCCCAGGGGGGTGGTTTCTTACTCCCCTTCTCTCTGGTGCATGCACACACCCTATGGCAATTTTTTTAAAAGAATTATTTTATTTAACTTTATTTATGATTATTATTATCATTATTATTTTCCAGTTTGATCAGAGAGAGAGAGAGAGAGGAAGTGGAAAACCAAGCCACCAAGTCCGAGACTTGAACCGTGGTTGGCCATGTGGGAGTCCAGCGCCCCTATCCACCACACCACCTGCTGGGCCCCCTATGGCAATTTTTTGCAATTAAAAAAAAATACATTTTTAATGCCATTTTCTCAGTAGTTAAAAACCTTTCCAAAACACATGCCATGCAGTAAACGGCAGCTTTGCTCCGGCTGAGAGACACACGTCCGTCCTGTGGCATGGCTGCAGACCTCCTCCTGGCAGGGCAGACACGCATGTGCTGCGGGCAGGAGGCGGAGCCGAACAGACACGCCTGCCCCCAGAGGCTTGGGCCTGCCGGGCGTGGCATACGGCAAGCAGACACCTATGACTGGACAGAGGACGTCAGGCTCTGGCGGTCCAGAAGGAGGATTACCCTAGCCCAGCCTGGAGGCCCCCGGGAAGAGACACTGGCACGGAGCTTTGAGAGCTGAGTGGAGTTGGTAGGATGTGCCAGGCAGGGGTGTGGAGCCGGAGGTGAGGGCAGAGTGGCCAGCCACACCTCCTGCATATCGGTGGCTGCCCCAGAGACTCTTGGCAGAGCCATGAGGGCAGATTCAGGTTCTCGAATGGTCAATTCGGTGTGATCCAGCTGGGGACACACAGGAAGTTTCAAATGGTTCTTCCTACTTCCTGCTTAGCGAGAGAGAGATGAGGCTCCCGGGCATTCCCACAGACAGTCCGTAGGGCATCTGCTGTGCTGTGACCAGGCCCAAGAGACCCTCCCTCCAGCTGCAGGCCAGGACCCCCGGCACAGCCATTGCACTCATGCAGCACCCTCTGGGGCTACAGGCCTCCCGTCCTCTAGGCCCCTGAGAGTCAGTCTGCCACTCTGCACAGGGCAAGCAGGCTGGAGAGGAGAGGCCAGGGCCTTGGGTGGGCCCTGCCTGGCTGCCGCTGCAGCTCCGTGGCCATGGAAGGCTGGGAGCGGGTAGCAGGCCAAAAGCATCTCCCAGAGGCCAGTGAGCACCGCCCAGTGAAGGAGTGAGTCTCTCCAGGGGGGCTGCCAGAAGTCCCTGAGACTCCTGCCCACCCGCCAGGACAGGGACAGGCTCAGGATTGGGCATGGTGCCACCCTGCTCTGCAGAGGGCAACCTGCCCACAGCTGCTCCTCCCTGGACTTCATCAGGCTTCACGACCTCCCACTAGGGTCAGGAGTTTCGTCTTTGTTTTTTGGGAGAGATTTTTGCTATAGGGCACGTGCGCTCACCAGAAAGACAGAGAGAGAGAGACAGAAAGTGAGAAATCACCCCCAGGGGGATGGCCACGCCACAATCCCTTCTCCTCCATTCTCCTCTCGGGATCTTGGGCACGCACCCAGCTTGAGTTTAAGCCACCAGGTCCAGGACTCAAACCATGGTCGACTACGTGAGAGTCCAGCAACATAGCCATTATGCTACTGGTCCCTGGGAGCTGCGTTTTTAAGTAGTATTTGTTGTTTTACTAATTATAAAAGTGACATGTGGGGCCAGTAGGTTCAAGGGCTGGGAGCGGGTAGCAGGCCAAAAGCATCTCCCAGAGGCCAGTGAGCACCGCCCAGTGAAGGAGTGAGTCTCTCCAGGGGGGCTGCCAGAAGTCCCTGAGACTCCTGCCCACCCGCCAGGACAGGGACAGGCTCAGGATTGGGCATGGTGCCACCCTGCTCTGCAGAGGGCAACCTGCCCACAGCTGCTCCTCCCTGGACTTCATCAGGCTTCACGACCTCCCACTAGGGTCAGGAGTTTCGTCTTTGTTTTTTGGGAGAGATTTTTGCTATAGGGCACGTGCGCTCACCAGAAAGACAGAGAGAGAGAGACAGAAAGTGAGAAATCACCCCCAGGGGGATGGCCACGCCACAATCCCTTCTCCTCCATTCTCCTCTCGGGATCTTGGGCACGCACCCAGCTTGAGTTTAAGCCACCAGGTCCAGGACTCAAACCATGGTCGACTACGTGAGAGTCCAGCAACATAGCCATTATGCTACTGGTCCCTGGGAGCTGCGTTTTTAAGTAGTATTTGTTGTTTTACTAATTATAAAAGTGACATGTGGGGCCAGTAGGTTCAAGTCCCAGACCCGACAGCTCAAAACGCATTTGGTACATGTGTGCCCAGAATCCCAAGAAGGAAACGGAGAAGGGGTTACAACATGACGACCCCGGAGAGTGATTTTTCACTTTCTCTCTCTCTCTCTCTCTCTCTCTCTCTCTCTCTCTCTCTCTCGTACCAGCAAGTGCATGCACTCTATAGCAAAAAAGTTCTTTTTAAAGAATTAGTTATTTATTTTTATTTTTTTACTATCACATTTTCATTTGCTATAGGGCATACGCACTTACCAGAGAGAGAGAGGGAAAGTGAGAAAGCAAGCTGCCAACTGCAATACTCAAACCATGGTCAACCATGTGGGCGTCCAGCACCTCAACCACCACACCTGCTGGCCCTAGCAGAAAGAAAAAGCTTTAAAAAGTAATAAAGTAAATAGTGACGTGCACCCCCTGATGAAGGGCCCGGCCCAGAGGTGTCCAGCCAGCCTGAGCAGCCGTCCCGCTCGGGCAGGCTCTAACGAGAGAGCCTTTCTTTCCCGCTGTAGGAAGATCCCAGCACCTCCCCGTCTCCGGGGACCCGAGCAGCCAGCCAGCCACCTAACTCCTCAGGTAAGAGGCACCATCCTGACCCCAGGACGCACAAGGTCTCCTGGGGGCGGGGTGGGGGGCGACTCGCAGAAGAGAGCCTGATTCAACCACCTCACTTTACACGGGAGCAAATGAGGCCAGCTGTGCGAGTCCCAGAAGCATAGGGCGCTCTGACCTCGGTGACTTCCAGGGGTCCCTGCGAGGGAAGGGCTTGCCTGGCAGCACACGCCGAGTGGGGATGTTGTCTAGAGCTCCGGCACCCGGGCGGGGTCAGCGCTGCGACAGGAGAGCTTAAATGTCAGTGCGTTGCCAGGGTTACCATCGGGCGTGCTCCACCTACAACACAGCCCCTTACTGCCCAGGGGTCCCCCAGCCTGAGCTGTGCCAAGGTGTATTGGGAGTGGTGGAGAGAGGAGCCAGGACGGCTGTTCCGCGTCGGCTGCACACCAGGCCTGTGCTCAGGAGCTGACGGAGAGCCCCCCCATCTCCTCGCTCTGGGTGTGGCCCCGCCTGCACCTGCCCACACTCAGTGTAGTGGGGCCGTTTGCCCCTGCCACAGACCTGGGTTCGGCTGTGCCCCTGCCTCCAGCAGGTGAGCCCAGGGGCATCCGGAGGGCTCTGAGCAGGCCCACCTCACTGCAGTCGGCCTACAGGGTCCCGGGACTTGGTTCCCCTGCAGACCTCGGGGTTTGTCTCCTGGTTCAGTGTGACCCCGCCAGTCTCCGGAAGTGGGATGGAGTATAATCCAATGCCACTCTAAGACCTGGGCGACCCACGGTGTGTGGGGAGGATAAAGGAAGGCCCATCGGCAGGTGCAGGTGGCCCGGGGCCTGGCTGCCAGAGCCGGTCGGAACACGAGGCCACACTGGGAGTGTCCGGGTGGGGTCCCCGCCTGCCCTCTCCCTTGCGGGAGTGGCTGGG